TATTATGATTTTTCGGGGTAATATCTAATTGAATAACATTTACATTAAATTCATAATGTGAATTATTAATTCGCGTTATTTCAATTATTTTTACACTGAGAAAAAAATTGTTAACTTGACTAAATGCATTTAGTTTGTAGCGATTATTTAGTTTGACTAACTTATATTTAAGTTAAATATATTAATAATCATGTCAACATATTATTTGTTTAAATTAACAAATATTTGCTTGACAAGTCTATTTTTTTGAAACAGCAACTTTTTCTTTCAATGCATGTGTAAAATAAAATGATAAAGTTAAACAATTTCATTCAAGAAAATGTACAATACTAAATGATAAATGACTAAATTTAATTCAAATTTAGTCATTTATCATTTACTGAATACAAAAGATGTTGTTTATTTTAAAATTAACCACACAAATGGACTGATTTACATTTTAAACATGGAAGTTAAAAATCACAAAATGTTATTTAAGTGAAAGGTTATCGTTGCTTTTTTGGTATCTAATAATCTAACATCTAATTTGAGAAGTATCCATATAAAATTGTTACAATAGAAATTATGACGTTAAATTAATTGTGATTATGATTTAATGCAACTGAGGGAATTAGACAGATCTAGGCTGCGAAGAGAAAGTTTTAGAGAACAAAAAGAAAATTTAACGTGACGGGGGTTAATATCATATGCCTTCTCGAGCCCCTCTCTCTCTCTTTTCTCGCAACTCGTTTCACTTTCTTTCTCGCAGTCGCGAAAGCAAGGCAGAATCGGTGAAATGAATCGTATCGCCTCGAGGAAACGTATTTCTCATATTTTATTCTCGCTGCTTTTTACCATCGTCTTTTTTCATCACGGTTTGATTTGAACCTCCCCCCCCCCCCGAAGTTGCGGGCGGGGCACGCATATAGCCCGCAGCTATTCTAACGCAGAGAGCGCCCAAAGGAGAGCACGGGAATTACAGGAAAGGAAAAGAAACGTGAGGAAATTTGCGCGTCTCCCGTTCGGAATGATGAATGAGCCGCTTTATTCATTCTGCTCTCAGATATCGTTCTGACTATTAAAAGAAAAGAGATGCGCGAAATTCAACGCGATGAACGTGACGACAAAGCCGCCCTCCTCTGGTTTGCGATTCCGCGCGTACACCAGCGCTGTTGTTGCTGACTTTCGGCATAAAATATTCATCGTCGCTGTATGATTTAAATAATGCAAGGACAGAGGCTGCGGCAGAGGCCACTCAGCACGAGGCTGCGTTTCTCGCTATCACGAGTTGTTTGAATAAAAATACAGATTTGTAACAGAATTGTTTCACGCGACATATTCTCACCAATATACTTTTCTTAAGGTTCGACGACCTTCTCTAGTTTTCCGTGGGAGGTATCGAATCGATAACAGACGGATAATCCAATACGGATGCAAGCTACTCTCGACCAAAATGGGAAGACATCACAGAGGAAAGTCTGTGCACCACTAATCTCGAGTATATGTGTCGATATCCGGCCAAAGTTATTAAGACTCACCAATTTTGCTACCATAAATCTCGAAGAAACGAATGGCGAAGCAACACGGAAAACACGATTTTCCAGCAATATGCTTTTCTAGTGGACGAAAAGCAATCAAGTCATTTAAGAGTATGGTCGTCTGTTTTTATGATCCCGCGGCAAATTCCACTTCGAACGGTAAGATTGAACAATCTGCGAAAACCTGGCCGCCAAATTCGCGATATCTCCCTTCGTCATCCCGTCACGGATCATATTCCTTCGAAATGCATTTTGTAATTTTGTTACGCGTTCGTTTACAGCGCTTGTCGAAATTACGCGTTGTAGCTGATCGATTTTCGCGTATCCCCGCCAAATTTATTACCCCTATCAGCAATGCAAATGAAAACATATGTGTACGGCGACTGTGAACGCGTATACACACACACACACACACACACGCACGCACGCACGCACGCACGCACGCACGCACGCACGCACGCACGCACGCACACACACATATATATATATAAATATTAAATATGTATAATGTCAAATTATATACACACCTAATTTGCGTTATTTCTAATCATTTTTATAAGACATTCCTACTTAAGATAATTTAACTAAAACAATAGAATTACTCAAGATGTAACTCAAGAAAATGTTTTAAATTTGATTTAATTTATTATTTACTAAATGCATAAAGTTGCAAAATTTCAAAAACCTTTCGAGCTATTTTGATGAAATTTTTAACATATACAAAGTTAAAATAACTCAAGTTATTTTTGATATTTTTCGCGAAAAAATAAAGTTTTTCCTTCAACTTTTTGACACTCTGTATCTTTGAAACTCAGCCAGCATTTTTTTTGTGCATATATTACCATATGAAGTTTCTGTTTTAAATTTGTTTAAGAAATCACTTCTTAAAATCTTTTAGAGTATCCACTCTGAATAACACGCAATATATGTGTTCATATTTATTGATTAAAGCTCGCCAATGTAAATGGAGGCTTGCGAACATCCGGATAATGATATGTCCGTACATATATGTCATTCACGGTCTAATTCAAAATTTATTCATAGAATAATCTTGTGGAAACGGATAGAACGTATCCGGGCGTAATGTATATTTGAATATTTATATACAATAGGGGGGGTTTAGTATATTAATTGCAATTGTGTGTTTTAGCTGAGTTTGCACAGTTACGCCTGCGTTAAGGGTGAAATTTAATGTGCGGGTTGAGATCTGCGCAGGATCATCTATTTATCTTCATATGCCTGTAAATTATGCTTCCACGTTATTTCGGTGAAAGTTGCTTTTCCAACTAATCATCTCGTTCCCGCCACTGTGTATTTAACGATTATCTGAATCTATAAATAAAATAAAATAATCGATAATTGTTTTACAATTGCGAGTCTATCTCGCCGAGAGGACAATCGTAGTTTAGATAAATGACATTGAACAGAGGAATACCTATTTTCAGACCAATGATAAGACAGAAATGTGTAATGAGAGTAGTTTATTGCTTAATCGGAGTTTCTCGAGCGGATTCTCAACTACTCCAATTAACCCGCCGTAAAATCCGATTGTGAATACGTTCAAGGATAAATTCTGTGTGATATCGATTAACCGTCTAGCCGTCAGATCGCGACAGTGAGTTAAGGATTCCTTTAATAGCGCTTTCTAAAGATTCATTCTGTTAATTATTCATTCTGTTAATTACAGCTGCCGCACGACAAAGACAATTGTAATGCTAACGCAGAATCGCTTCCACAAATGTTTAAGTTTGATCACAAACTTGCCAAAGATATCGATTTCGTCGATCATGAGCAAATAAAACATAATGTACGCACACGTACCATTCGTGTTTAAGCGCGGTCAGTAAACGTTTAATCGTTTAATGTAAAATTGACCGACGGGACGCAGTTTGCGCTACAGAGAGAGCTGCTACGATTGTTCAGGGTCCCGTGCAGGAAGCGCTCGAGAGCCTTGATGGGCGTCGTTATGCCTTTGCGAATAGCTATGAGACAAATTACATTGTAGGCGACACGGGGAATAGGGGTGCGGGGAATATTTTTATATGTTCGAACACCGAAGAGAAAAACGAACGTCCGACCCACACCTAGAAGATGCGAGTATTCAGAATCATTGTATTAAAAATTTATGTGTCATAATTCAAAGCATTATTAAAAATAAAAAAAAATTTCATAGATTGTTCTATTATTATGACTAAGAATCTGTGTCAAATCTAAGTACAATTCGCTTATTGGTTTAAAGTTATTCAATTATTTTGTTTGCGTTGATTCTCATATACACAGTAAAAAATTAAATGTTAATTTTAACTTATAATCGTACAGTGGACTCTCTGAGACATACAAAAATAAAATTAACACAAAAATTAATTTTAACATTTTTGCATGTTTCAGAAAGTCCATTATACGACTATAAGTTAAAATTAACATTTTATTCTTTACAGTGTAAAATCAAATTATAGTTACTTATTTGCAAAGATAATAAAATAATTTACAAATTAAATAAAAAAAAAATATATATAAGATTCTCTCTACTAAATATTCATGTAAAAGTTCATTTGAATTTACTTAGGGTACCGTCTTATAACACATATTTTTTGCATAATGCAATACGTATCGCATCTGATTGGTCAGAAGCATTAGGCGTTTTCGTTATGTCTATATAACGCCTCTTGATTACACGATACGCAAAAAATGTGTATCATGAAACGCGACTTTTACTCGTTTAAAAGTAATTTTTGCTAAAACTGCAGAAAAATATGGTAATTGCACTGCATAAATCATTAAAAATCAAATACTTGTTATTTTTTGCTATTAGTTTCAAAGCATATTTACGATAAATTTTTTTCGATTGATTAGTTTTTATTGGTTGATATGGACTTTTTTGATACTTTTAGGCGATATTCTATGTACATCCAAAATATCCTTAATTTATATTTTTTCTCAAATGTATTCATCACCATTTTTCGATTTTCGCAACTCAAGACGATAGTTCAAAATTAAAATTCTTTCTCTTTAAAGATGTATGTCATATCTTTTTTTTCCGCGAAAGAATTGTATTAGATAGCGTTATATTTATATGGATTTATATGGCGCGATATAAAATCAGAAGTCAAGAATGTTATGAATTACGTGCGATAGCCTTCAGGCAATAGCAGTCTAGATATCATCTAATATTTTATCATATACGAATTATGAGAAATTCTTATAAAGCGTATTCTAGAATCTCAGAGCATGACGACACGTGTAAGAAATATTTCGCTTACCTGTCGATCATTTTATTAATTTTTTTATATAGATATTCCATCGATATTATAATCTATCTATTGTTATTTATCATACATTTTGATAATTGTTCTATGAGAATAAATTTTTTAAATTAAAGTTAACAAGCTAACTAATTCAAGTTATCATTTTATTATTACATATTTGGTAACATTATCATATTTTCAAGCGCAAATTAATGATATACATATATATTTAGGGTGTTTGCTATCTTCTCGTGTAAATCGGCTCCTCATCGAACTCGTATTTGTACTTGCCAAAGGGCTGATGATTGTGGATGTTGTTTGCCGCCAAATACGCGTATACGCGAGGATTTCGCGGTCCAGGCACGTAACGCCCGTATCGGGACAATACGAGGGCTAGAACGGGATTGGGTGGCGGATGTACCTTGCTATTATAACCATCATCGTTCAGAGTACGACTTAAGAAACGATCGAGGGCCTTGATGACTGCCGTTATGTCTTGTGGTCTTCGATGATAATATGTCTCAACTTTTCCATGATACGGCAGTTTATCGTCATCCAATTCGTCTGTCAGATATCTGTCAAGTACCTTGACATCCTGATCCGCGAATCGAGGTACGTGACGATGATATTCTCGGATATCTTGAGGTCCCGATAACGTTGACGTCGTCGTCACGGTCGTCGTCGTCGTCGACAGTGCCGGCGGAGGCGACGGAGATGCGTTCGGCACTTTCGCCGAAAGCCAAACGTCCTGACGAATTTCTGTAGGGAATCTCCGAGTAGAAAAAGAAGATATAATATGTGTACGAAATGCAAATATAATTCATTATATATTTAAAAATCTTGTTTAAAAGTGTTTTTAAATCAATATAATTTTTAATTATATTTTTTTAGCACGATATTGAAATTTAGAAATTTTAGATTTTCTTCTCCATTGCTGAAAATCGGAAATTGTGATAAATAATCTTCAACTTTAGCTCAGAAAAAATCGATGCTAAAGTGGTAGAAGTTTTTATATGTATATAAATATGTACAAATATGTAAACATATATAAATATTTACGTATTATATGTAAATTTTTACATAAGTTAAAAATTATTTCCAATTTTTAGCAATGAGAATTTCTTAAAAAGAAAATCTTTAAGTAAAATTTATAAATTTCAATTTTTATCGTACTAAAAAAATTAATTATTTTAATTGAAACATCCTAATAAATAACATTAAAATATCAAAATTTTGTAGATACCATCTTACGTATATTCATAACTTCTTTTTCTTCTTTTACATACTTTCGTAATTACGAAAAAGAGAAATAACAACTTTAATACCTCTGAGGACCCGTTTGCGACTTCTGCTTGTGATTACTTAAAGTCGACGCGGATTGAAGCCCCATTGAACGGTCTGCCTGTAGATTTCTGGAGGAAACTAGTTTCTCCAGATTGCTGTTGATAATGTGATGATCATCGTATTGATGATTGGAATGATTTGGAAATGAACTGGCAGGCGGCAGATAACTATACCGCTGACGCGATATATTCGTCGGATCCAAAGATGTCTTGGTCACCATTATAGCACTTGTCAAGCAGATGCGCATCGCCTACATTCAGGTAAGGTATATATTTGTTAATCGTATTCGCATCTGTCTTCCAAAAACACATTCTTATCATGCCGTTCTGTTATACGGTGGCACAACGCCAAACTCATTTTAAGACCAGGGTCGATGCACCTAAACACCCTGAGCGAAAATATGAGTCAACAGCCAAGTTCACGGTACCGATAGCTAATTTAGACTATTCAACTTTTTACTTTGCGATTCTTATTGTGCGATAAGAAAAATCATGTTAAATAATAAACGTTAACATGTTGAATAATAAACGTAGGTATGTCAACTTCAAATCTTGATTAGTATTATATAAACCGTACATAATAAAAAAATGTATGTAAAATTATATTAACAACAAGTGGGAATTAAATCACACATTTATAATAAAAATTTACATAGTTATCGTTTTCGTATAACTCTCACATAAAATATTTCTTACATAAATCCAATTTAATATTGGCCAATTTAATTTTATCACTAAAAGTAGTGATTAATTATTTTAAGTATTAAAAGCATACGGAAAGAACAATTTTGCTGAAGTATTTAAAAATTTAGCTAGACACAAATCTAAAAATAATTTTCATATATTACCATAAATAAAATAATTGGGTAGAACGTCCAAGCTGATTATTAAGACAAAACTTTTTGCAGCATTGCTCACTATAAATTTTTCTACAATTATTTTAATGACTCAACAAAATTATTCTCAGATTTGTATCTATCCAAATTTTTAGATGTCAGCAAAATTGTTTTTTCAGTGCACTGTTTAAAATAAGTAATTAACATGACGATCTTTCAGTATTGTATTAAATTTCTATAAGGGATACATATATAATTGTCACATAGAAGATTAATATTTTTATTACAAATTGTATGATTTTTATTTGTTGTTCTTATAACTTCACATATTTTCAGTCCATTTTACGTCGCATAGAGTTGTTCTGTTTAAGTCAATATACAATATTTTTATTCTGTGTTTTCTACATATCGTCTTCACACGCAGTCTCGTTCGAAGAACGTATCGCGAAACACAATAACTTAGATGTTTTGGAACTCTCGTTACCAGACAGACAATGTTGAGTTTCTTGGCAACGACCATCCTCCTTCTATTTCGTAAAAAGGACTAAGACGGCGGCACGCACTTTGCGTGCCATTTATACAGTGTGCCGTCGCGTCTGCTTAAGAGCCAAGTCTTGTTCTGGCCAGGAAATGCGTAGAGTTATGTTACTCCCTGTCTTTGTTCTTTACACGCAGATTTCTACATTTTCCCCCCTTTCTCCTATGTCAAGACCGGTACGTCATTTACGCAAATTGTCAAGCGTTATTAGAAACTTTCCTTTTGTTTCCGAGAAGACGACTGCGGGACGAATTTTGTATGACGAATAACTTCTGCTTCATTTAAATTTCTTTTGTCGTTTCTTTTTATATTGTCGGAACAGTAAACTTTTGTTATACTGATTACAGATGCACTTTCGGATAATAAAAATATATCTTTTATCGCTCTAAAGAAAACGCTTTTTATAGAAAAAGAAAAATAATTAAGACATATCGATGCAATAATAATTATTATAAATATAAGTTTTAATAAAAAAAAGTCGATACAAAAAAAACAAAATATGCATTATGAGAAAAATTGCATAAGTCTAACTATATAATTTTGCAATAATTGCGCGACAAATTAATTAAAAAGTAATCATAAAGATATTGATTATTATTTCCTGTCTCGTTTAAACGACAAATACAGGACCGATAAAATAGTGACCTGTGCTAATAATAACTTCATTTTAGTACGTATTCTTCTTCTAGAGTACGCAACGTTACGGCAGAGAGAAACCTGAGAATGGACACAGGTCGGTATTCATAGTCAGATTCATAGTCAGATCTTATATTCAAGACCATTTTAAGTATTGTCTTAAGAACCAAACAGAGGGCCGTATTATATCTTAAGACATTACTTTAGACAGTCTTGAAATAAGAATGAACTATAAATATCGTCCACAATCAATATTTTCTTGTGATATTTCTATATACTGTACAAATAAGTACTCTGAATAAAAGTATTCAGGAAATTTGAGTTACTTTCGTACGACATGCGATCTGTTTCATCGACTGCTAGTACATGATCTAAAGAGAAGCTATATCATTCTATGGATACTTTTCATTTGGTAATATAGAATAGACAAAATATGTAGAAAACCAAAGAAACAATAATATTTGTGTCATCAAATGAAAAGTTATTAATTTTTTATATATATCTTTAGTCACAATTTGTAAAAATAGCACCCTATGCATTTATCGCCACTACTATTTTATCAACAGTCGAAAAAATATATAATTTATATCATATTATTATGGTTAATGCTTATTATTGATGTTAATATCACTAGTGTATGGTGAGCGTCACGCGAAAAACGCTGAAATGTTTTCTCAGGTTTCTCTCTAGGTATGGGCCCCTGTTTTTGAAAAGTATCGCATACGCAAAACTAAGAAAATACTATAGTATATGTTACGTACACTATAGTATTTTTATATAGAGAGAAAGAGAGAGTTTTTCGTATACGCAGAGAGAAATCTAAGAGAGGACATGAGGACTTTTTTCCTGTAATTGCAAACTTTTCCCGCGGACTACTGCCCTCTGAAAAAATGGATGTTCGAATATTCAAACAAGTTAATTTAGCGAATTTTGTCTTATAATACGTGTCTGCATAAAAATGGAATTACGAAGTTATGTTTTTTAATGCAAATTTTAAGCCCGTTTATCAAACATAATTACTAATATGTAAGTATATTTCAAAGTCTCTATAATCACTAGCAAATTATAGAGTCTCTGAATATATTTCAAATTTTTCAATCACATATCAATAAATTAAGATTTAATTTAGCAAAAAAAAGAGCTTTTTTGCATCGAAATGAAATTCAAAATTTTATATAATTTGATTTATTTTTATATTTAATAATTAAAACGGCATGCTGATATTATTAAATAAAGTTTAAAATTAATTTAAAATTTTATTTAATTTTTAATCCTTTTTTTCCAATTATCGAATATGTACATATGATGTCTATGTATCCCTACCTACATGTCACATAGTTTATTAGTTAGTAATATATTATGTAATATCTTTTAGTTTTAATATACTTATTTTTTTATTTTTTAAATAAGATTTAATTACCCGATCGCGAAATTCATGTAAGTGTCATTCTATTTGTAATAATTTAATTTTTTAATTTAAAATGATTGTATTTATCCCTACCTATCCATACTTATCCTATCTACCCGTATTTTCATTTATTTGTGGCTATTCGCGTATCCTACCTTCACGCGTGCATTCCTATCTACATTACTTCATAATGTATAATAACATCGTGAATATAATACGTTAATGACTGTATTCAGCAGAGAAAATACCTTTACAAATGTTGTAAAATTCTTCTATACAATTGTTTCTTGCTTTTGGATCCTTATGGATTTAAATGTATAAGTCAATCATATTAAAAAATTTTACAAAAATTGCAAAGTTGCTTTCTCTGTTGAACGCAGCAGCTAACGCCTAACCATGTCCTATCGCGTACTGATAAATTCAGCGAAATAATCTAATCGCGATCATATTAAATAAATAAGTAACAAATAATAATAGTTAAAACAGATTTTTAATCTTTAAAATACAAAAAAATTAATAAATAACGGGGCAAATGAGAGTCAGCGCGGATAATCAAGCGCAAATTTTTTAAATCAAAAAATCTACAAAACTTACCCTTGATTATCGGCATTGGCTCTCATTAGCTCTGTTGTTTGTTGATTATTTTTGTATTTTGAATAAACAATAATTTAAAAAATATAAAAACTCGCAATTTGCGAGCAAGTTACCCTCCCGAATTTAGTTTATCTTTACATAACATCCTTTAAAAACAAATTCGTATTACACACCAACCTATAACAGATCCTCTTCTTTCTTCTGGCCAGATGGAACTCACCTTTCATTGCTGGCCAATATTCTGGCTTTGCATGCCAGAAATATACAATAGGGAGAAATACTTCTTTTTTTACTGCCGACTAACATCGCCGGCAATAAGCGTAAGATTTTACGCTTTTACGATGCGCGAAACACGAACGCGTCGCGAAGGGGCTATTAATAAAATTAATTAAATATTAACATGAACAATTATTAGTTATAATAATTATTTCATTAAGATACGAATAATTTTCGCGTTTATTTGAAATGAAAAATATAAATATTCGACTAAAATAAATCTAAATTAAAAAAAAACTATATGTCAACAACGTTTTGATTTCAAGGGTCTCAAATATTATAAAATTAGATTAAATTTCTTAATAAAAAATTTACAATATAAAAACAAAACTTTAATTTAAAAATAAACTAAAAATTATTAAATCGATTATCTTTGATAAAATTCAATGTACGTATTTTTAACGATTCGAACGATTCGTTGTTGAATCTCATCTCAAAGCATGCGGAGATGAAAAATTCAGATGAATGATGCAAGATCCAAAAGGGATAATTTTGCCACACATGCACACAAAAAAATACGCAAGTAATAATTATTCTATGCAAGTAATAATAACTTATATCAAGTATATCAAAAATTTATATATTAGCAAATCTATTGTAATTTCATCAGAAACATTAAATTTATTCAAAATATATTCTGAATCCTAGCAAGTTTAATAT